ATCCCATTAAAAAAAGAAATTACGCACGTTATAAATCCGGCTAAGGAATTTAGGTCAAGGTAATGCTATAAATACTATACTATAGAGACTAGAGATGAGATATACCTGCCATTCTCCATACCCGGCCTTTAAGGTATGGGTATCACTAAATACCTGGTACAAATACCGGGTATCAAAATACTTCTAAGTATTGGGTGTGGTAGGATTTCGATAAGTAAACGTATGCGATAAGTATGGTATGCCTCCAATATAATGTAGGTACGATGTTTCAAGTACCCATACGTAATTATGCATTATGAGATATGAAATCTTTCCTTCTACTTTACCAGGCTTAGGACTGTCGGCTAAGAGTATGACGATGGTTATTAATGAATTCTAGTTATTTCTATATAAATTAATGCAAAATAACATTAATTATATTTAAACTGACTAACTAGCCGGCGTAGTTAAAAGACTTAGTAAGTACCACTAAACGTAAACATTCAAACACGTAATAATATTCCCTAACATAAACAAACTAAGGAACTCTTTCACGTCGTGACAAAAAATGTATGTTCCTTATGCACATAAAAATAAGTACCCATTTTGTCTAACTAAATTAAATCAACCGAATGTCCATAAAGCACGAATGACGTTTCGGGTCCCTTCGTAAGCTGTCGGGTAGCTTCGGGTTGCTTCGGCGTACCGAACTACCGATAAAACTGAACCGTTCGTATCGTAGTATGCGTCTGACGTCATACCTTCAAGGTATTTACCCAGTATTTCGGTCCGTACCCGGTCTATGTACTGGGAAGCACATACTTGGTATATATACCTCTACCAGTATATACGTCTCATCACTAATAGAGACTTATGCAGGCTCAGACAATGAAGCCATACAAGCACAAAATGGGAGAATTAATTTGTCTATCCTTTATTGTAGATCAACTCTGAATGTTTTAAATAAAAAAATACAATGGGCGTAAAATATTACAATTGATCTCTCGTTTAGATGTTTATTAATTCCTTTATTGTTTTTGTCATTTGCCAGTGGGCAGTGACAAACAAAATTTCAGCTCAATCGGTATTTTTTTAAGGCATAAGCCGGTAAACGAGCAGACGTATCACCTGATGGTAAGCAATCGGCGTCGCCCATGGACACCTGAAACATCAGAGGCTTTACAAGTGCGTTACCGGCCTTTTGGGGATTAGGAGTTTGAGGATCGTTGGGGATTCAGGAATTGGGGAGATTGGGGAAGGGGAGGGTAATTGGGCCTCCGGTAACCTCACTCACACGACGAAACACAACGCAAGCGTTGCTTCACGTCGGTTTTCTGCTCGGCCGTGGTATCACTCTGGTCGAGCCAGCCCATTCGTGCCGAAGCATGGCTCTCCCACACAAGAAGGTTGAAGATAAAATTACCTAATGTTTGTAATAACTGACAGCCCTGTAAACTGGACGAATTGTTGCAGTTACGTACCTACAATAAGCATTACAAAACAGGCACTGAAGTGACTCAGCAACACAATTTAGTACAACGCTTTTGTGTGCCCTATATTGTGCCGGAAACAGAGCCGTATTATCCCTAAGGTACACTAGGGCGCCAGGTTAAAAAAGGGCGCTGCGAGACGCGGGTGCCGAATGGCTAAAACTGGCGGCGCCGCCAAAAAAATTAAGGGCGCCTATGATATGATTGCCTAGAGCTCTCTTTAGTTTTAATCCGCCTCTGGTTGAAAATATTATTTTCATGGACCCGTGTGTCGTGGTCCACCACAAGTCTATCAACTTCATACATTTTCACTATGGTTATAGACACACTCGTATGTCGTGGCGTGTCGCATGGGTGCCAAATATATCCAGCAGATTGGTAGTCACTGCGGCATGCGTACAAGACTTTGACTTCAATTGACGGCACGGTTGGTACAGTGCCTGAACAACACCAGCTGCCGCGCAACGTGTCGTGGGTACGATTCCCGCAAGCAAGTCTTTGTATGATCCAGAAAATGTTGTTCCCGGTCTGGGTGTCATGTGTATGTGAATTTGTATGTTTGTAAACGCACCCACGTTACAGGAGAAAAACCTAGCGTTCCCACACTACACACACAGTTTAACTACACTACTATTTGGTACTTAAATAGGTAGTTTTAGTTGTATTATGGTATTTGTAACGCTTCTAATAGTTTAACTCGTCGAGTACCGGTTTTGTAGACACAATTATAGAACAATAGGTTGCGGTCACCGGTGACCGCTTGGTGTTTGACAGTTTAATTGTCATTAACAAAATATAGTTATGTTTTCTCTCTTATTTCTTCAGTTCATTTTCAATTTTGCATTTATAGAACTTCGACTTTGGTAACTTCTTTAAATTGTTACCCTGAGGATTTAAGGAGTAATTAAATTGAATGAAAAATATTACTCGGGTACTTACTCATAAATATTATCTACAACAGAATTAATCTACTAACACAAAAATGCCCTATTTCCTGAACACTAAACCGGTATAATATATTTTTTTTTGAACATAATTCTTTTATAATTATCTATATATTTTATAATATACTTAATATTAGTAACTATTTTTTTTATTGTTAATTGTATTAACTGTTCAACTCCCAAGCAGTCACAGGTATCCGTCACCACTAACTCCATTATTTATTTCCAATGTTTAGAAACTACTTTTGTATGAACAAATTTAGGGGATGATATATATCAACATTTTAAGTATAAAAAAGTTATATCATAGTTTGGCCACTATCTCGCCTGGTGGTAGGCACACAGCCTACAATGCCATACACCTATTTATAGAAGGTATTCAGGTCATACCTTTCCTGGAATCATTGATTCTAGCAAGGACTTCCACTCTAGTATACTGCACAAGGTAAATAGAAGCAAATGACTTCATGCGAGTGGGTGGAACTCATACCATATCATAGTGATTTGAATTATAACTTGTGCGAAGCATAGTAAATTATTAATTATATTTTTTCAGCTTATTAACATGGCCATTTTAGAGGGTTGTAAATATGGCATGAAACTAGTATAGTTTCTCGTCAAACAGTTATGGGAGTAAGCCAAAATATATAATAAGTAGTATAATAATAATATTAGTATGAAATTAAACATTTGTTTATAAGAAACATGTTTTTATGAATACTAATTAAATTCTTATTAGAATGAGGCCACAAATAATAAAATTATATTAGTTGTTAAAAGGAAAATGTGGTGAATCTGTGGCTGTTTAAACACATGTTGCTTTGTCAATGGGTCAACTTTGATAATAATAATGTGTATGTGCATATTATTATAATAAAATTGACACTAGTGTTTTGGTCGTAAAATTATTTTATTTTATTATCTGTCATTTTCATGAAAAAAAACTATATTTGATTATTCTTCTCTGATTATAAAAGTTAATTATTCTTAGTACATTATAATAAAATTAAGTTTTAGTTTAGTTAGTTAAAATTCCTATTAGATTAAAGCAAGATTACTATTAGAATAAATTTTTATTAGGAATTTTGTCGTGTTTTAATGAGAAAAATAAATGTTCCATCAAAATCAAACAATAAAAAAAGTTGAAATAGAGGTGCATTATCTTCATCTATAAAGGCGTTAGTGACGCTGATATCAACATCATACTGCCTCTATGCATATTTAATTTGTTCTAAATGAATGGTCTTGTGCAATGTATAGTCGACTGCATTCGCGAGATACAGTGCCAAGGTCAGAAGGCAATACACATAAATATTAAAATATATAGCGCGTGGCAATGCGTTTTAAAAAAAGTAACTCTAATAAATTTACGCTTTACAAATTGGTGTCTTGTAATACATACTGCCAAACGGATTTCCGATCATTGCTTCAGTTACGAAAAAAAAACAAAATAAATAATAAGGTCAAGCGAAAATCGGTAACGACCTTTGTAAGACTTCGTAAATAAATTAAGTTTTTTACTCATAACAAGTAAGTTACTAATATAATAAATATTACTATATATTATTACTTACCAAAATCTATAAACTGCTTTATAGATAACGGCGAAGGGTTGAATTGTGAGTAGAAATCAAGCATTTTCGTAACATTGGAGAAAATAGCTCCCGCTAACCTCATCTTGAATGATTTTTAAAAACGTTTACAAACTCAAGAATAGTTAAAAATACACTTCAAAACTTGTTCACAGTCACAGCTGATTAAAACACATGTTTAACTAATATTTAATAAATTTATTTTTCACCGGCACAAACTTCACACGAGTGCGTAAAATTTTCGACTGAATTAGTGTTGCCCGCTACACCGTATTATATATTTCAATGAAAAGTGAACTTTGAACTTCAGTGTTCCAACTAGAAAATATACAGACAGCTGTTCTTTGTGAGTGTTTTTATTTGTTTTATTAAAAATATTATGTTATATTCCATTTGAATTTATTATTATAAGTCTTTTATATTTAAATTATTAGTATATTTATCTTGCACAATGGTAAATCGACCCAAAAAGTTTTCAACCAATGAAAGTTATTGTTAGGTCTGTTCATTTTAGCGTTTCATAATACAAACAGTACTATAATGAGTTAGGCAACTCCAAGATATTTTTATTTATTCCGTTTTGCAAAATATATTTACATAATTTTTATTATTTAAAAAAAAATTGGTGCATTAAATTATAATAAAAATTAAAATATTCTTGTCTGTCTAGTCTTGTCTGTCTGACAAAAAATAAAATGACAGCTGAAAAATAAATAACAGCTGCAAGCAGCTAACTTTGACATTTCTGAAGAAATTATCAGGAAAAAACAGACTTTACATTTTCTGTTTCAGTTCAGCTGATTTCGGTTCCAAATAGCAACAAAAAGGTTTTTTAATTTGTTTTAAAATGTTAGAGTGAAACGTAAAACTGTAACATGCATAAGTTTTCCGCCTTCCCCGTTCACAAAATTCCTAAACCTATTGATGTGCATACGATAAGAACTGTGAGTTCTCTACACCCTGTTCCTAATTCCTTTTTTAAAACTTCATTCATTTTCGCGCCGATAAAATAAAAACTGTAGAATTCTATTATAATTTGTAAACGGTGCGTATTAGGAAATCGCTGCAAGGCAAACTGAAAGTTTGATAACGAATGCATTGTAGAATATCTTATCACTTTTTAAATTATTGCAAGAGGGTTCTTATCATCAGTCACCTCATGTAAAAATCACCAGTCGTGTTTTGTTAGTGCTTGTAAAGTTCAAGTTAGGAAAAGGGACTGGGGAGACTGGACAGTGAGTGACTATTGAGATAACTTCTTCTACTTTTAACTGTAGGAGACCTATGCTTCGGTATGAATGGGCCGGCTCGACCAGAAAGATACCACGGCCTCACATAAATACCGACTGGAAACAACTGGAGGCCCAATTGAATTCCCTAATCTCCCCGATCCCTAAATCTCCAACAGTCCTCAAATTCTTAATCCCCAAAAAGGTGTTCCAGGTGTTCATGGGCGACGCCGATTACTTACCACCAGGTGGCTTACTCTGGAATCCAATTCCGATCGATAGACATTGGTATTGTGAAATTTCGTACTCTTGAGTTGCAACACTAGCGCCCATTGCATCCGTATTACGTGGATATTGCATGAACTAAATGGTATTGAGTTTGGCTTTATATCCCGTACCCTAAATGCTATATTAACAGCTATGATTGTGGTTGTATAGTTTTGACATTGAATAAATATTGAGATTTTATTATTGGATTGAAATTGCATTTATATTGAGATTGGTTTCTAGAGTAAGCACCCAGGTGATCCCTCTGCTCATCTACTGCTTTATCCTAAGACTGACGCTAACAGTGTAGTTTTTGATGGTAACAATGAAAAACAGTGATCTACTTTGGAATAAGCTCCTAGCTTCACTGATGGACTTACTATTAATATTTTTTTTTTGGATGATGTTTCAAAATACTTCTATATTCATCACTAGCTACTTCCGCGCGGTTTCACACGCTCAGCTCAGCTCCTATTGGTTGTAGCGTGATGTTTTATAGCCTATAGCCATCCTCGATAAATGTGCTATCCAACACAAAAAGAATTATTCAAATCAGACTTGTAGTTTCAGAGATTAGCGCGTTAAAACAAACAAACAAACTCTTCAGCTTTATAATATTAGTATAGATATGTATTCATCTAAATTTTTTACTTTGGACTCCTGACACTGTTAACTAGATAGTGGTTTTAAAGGGACCAATCAAAAGAAAAAACAATGGTCCTTTATTTTTACATACTTCTATTTATGTTTTTATTGTAACTATCGTGAGACATAGTAAATTAACTAAAATCGCGGGTTACTCACATGAGTATACTGAGAACAGCTCTACTAGTTTCGAACCACAGAGGGGTCTTTCCTCATCTAGTAACTCAGTAACCCACGATTTTAGTTAATTAAGCTTCTATTTAACTTGTTATGTATGTATGTGCATGGGTGTGTGTGAAGTGATCTTGCAACTGAAGTTTGAAGCAGATATCTTCAACCGATTGAGCTGAAATTTTGTATACACGTTTAGTTTGCACGACAATGAATGCTAAGTTGCATAAAAGATTGTTTTTAATAAATTTCCAGATCATGCATAAAGTATTTGTGTACGGCACACTTAAACGGAATGAGCCGAACCACTGTTTGCTGCAGGACTCCAATAATGGCATCGGTTGCTTTGTAGCAGAAGGGTACACCAAGACCAAGTATCCCCTGATCATTGCAACTAAATACAATATACCGTTCATCTTACACTGCCCTGGCAAAGGACATTTTGTACAAGGTATGATTTTATTCATTTATTCGGACATCTAGATGTTGCAACATATTTAACATTCACTTAAATTTAAGGATTAATAATCTTATTACTAATGCACCACATTTGAAGGACATCTCAGCGTGCATTGAGTTGAGAACACTGGTATTAATTAAATTGTCTGACATTATATAAATTTGTAAGAAATTAAATAATTAGTAACAACTTTTGTTTTTGCTTCTATTATATTTCAATGCATAACATCACACCTTGTATTTACTAATGATGTAGGTATAGCCAGAGCCGTATTATTCCTAAAGCAAACTAGGCAAGCGCTCAGGGCGCCAGGTGACTGAACGGCGCCAGATGACTGAAGGGCGCCGCGAGACGCCCGTACCTAACCGCCAATAGAGTAACGGTGGTGCCATAAATAATTAAGGGCGCCTATGAGGTGCTTGCCTACGGCGCTCTCTAGGTTTATTCCTCCTCTAGTTGTAGCATACGGCCCGTCGCCGGTCGCGCGCCTGAAAGAGCCATGCCATCACAGATCAGGCCCAGTAGGTCTGCACCTCGCGGGTTACAGGGGCTTAGGATCGAAGCAGGAGCAGGAAACGGGGTGGTTTTTAGTCAGTAAGAATCTGACACTTCCTCTCGCTTCAATGATATTTCCACTAAGAAAAAACAGTATAGATACGTTCTTGGCAGCTGCTTGCGCATTGCTGACTCGAAGCTTCCTCATGTACTAACTCCTGATCTTGTTTCAGGTGAGATATATGACGTAGATGATAAAATGCTTAGCAAACTTGACATACTGGAGGACCATCCCAATTACTACATACGAGAGATTGATGACATCGTAATCAAAGATACGTAAGTTAATAATTCGTTGAAGTTAAACCACAGTATTAGCCTTCTTTTAACCTTTAGATAAAGTTTAAAAGTTTGTTTGTTTGAATGCGCTTTGAAAATCTGAAAGTACCAGTTCGAATTGGACCTTTATTTTTTCGTTTATATTTGATGGGCCGACGTTTGACCACTGTCTCGCCTGGTGATAAGCGATGATGCGGTCTACGATGGAGCACGTCGTCCCATAAGCAACCTGTTCACTCGGGTCTTGAAGACCTTTTAGGAAACAGCCTCTGGCAAATAATACCACTACTTAGCATTACGCACAAGAAGCTACATGGGACATCTACCATGAATCGGTGATTACTGGTTCGGATTGACCTATTTTTGTGTTAGTGTATTTATCAAGGAAGGCCATAGCCAATAAAACAACAAGGTACGATCAATGGGCTGAATCGATGACCGAGCAGGGAGTGAAATCTTGCGGGAGCAATCAGGATTATAAATATGAAAGTTTGTGAGAATGGACCTATTTATGTAGGTAGTATATATATTATATATGTATGTTATACTTTATTTTTCCCGTGTCAAACACCGAGCGGTCACCGGTGACCGCAACCTATTGTTCTATAATTGTGTCTATAATGACGGTACTCGACGAGTTAAGGAGGTTGTAAAAGCCAACCAAGGTATTGTATGTTTGACAGAAAAAGAGCACCACTCTGACAAGCCTGAACCTTTAAGGCTCTAAACAGAAGAACCGAATTTCAACTGCAATCTAACCGCAAATTGCAGCTCGAATGCAGATCGAACGCAGTTGACACGACTGTATTAGAACTGCAATCAGACTGCTCGTTTGGTTTGCTACCGTTGGGTCATGACTGCAATAGAACTGCAATCGGACTGCTCTATTGGTTTGCAACCGTTGGGTCATGACTGCGATAGAACTACAATCGAACTGCTCGTTTGGTTTTCAACCGTTTGGTAATGACTGCAATAGAACTGCAATCAAACTGCATATTGGTTTGCAACCGTTGGGTCATGACTGCAATAGAACTGCAATCGGACTGCTCTATTGGTTTGCAACCGTTCAGTCATGACTGCAATAGAACTGCAATCGGACTGCTCTATTGGTTTGCAACCGTTTGGTCATGACTGCAATAGAACTGCAATCGAACTGCTCTATTGGTTTGCAACCGTTGGGCCATGACTGCAATAGAACTGCAATCGGAATGCTCGTTTAGTTTGCAACCGTTGGGTCATGACTGCAATAGAACTGCAATCGGACTGCTCGTTTGTTTTGCAGTTCAATTACAGCCGTAACAATTAGATTGCAGTTAAATTGCGGTCCGTCAGTCTAGAGCCTAAATCTACCATCTCTAAGATCTAACTCACCTGCCAACTGCAAAGAGTGGAGATTACTGCTAATCTTCCTATCAAGTTATAGCCCCACAGCGGAGTAAACCTACAGAGCAGGCTAGGCAAGCATTTCATAGGCGCCTGTAGTATTTTCGGCGCTGCCGCCATTCTATGGGCAGTTTGGTACACGCATCTCGCGGCGCCCAACTGTAACCTGGCGCCCTAGACAATTGTCTAGTTTGCCTTAAAGATAGTACGGCTCTGGGTAGCCCATAGTTCAGAAGTTGATTGCGATTGTCGGCTGATGATGCTATCATTATTATACAGCCTATCACCACGCTTGCTCAAGGCGTGTTGGCGATTTCAAACTTATAACTAGAAATTGTAAGCCCAGGTTTCCTCACGATGTTTTTCACCGTTATAACTCAGAAAAGTTGCATTGATACTTGCCGTTGGTAGGTTTCGACCCCGCACACTAATGCATGAGAACCGTCTTAAATCTCCGGGCCAACACGCCATTTGAATATCAAATATCATTTAATGACCAAAATGTACGTTGATGATGTTATTAATGCATATTTTAACACCCTGTGTTAAGTGTAGAAGTGCCATGCTTCGGCACGAATGGGCTGGCTCGACCGGAGCGATACCACGGCCTCACAGAAAACCGACGTGGAGCAACGCTTGCGTTGTGTTTCGTCGTGTGATTGAGGTTATCGGAGACCCAATTACCCTCCCCTTCCCCAATCTCCCCAATGCCTGAATCCCCAACGATCCTCTAACTCCTAATCCCCAAAGGCCGGTAACGCACTTGTAACGCCTCTGGTGTTCCAGGTGTCCATGGGCGACGCTGATTGCTTACCATCAGGTGATTCGTCTGCTCGTTTCTCGGCTAATGCCATAAAAAACCCTTCTGTATTACATGTGTTCACGAATAAATTAATAATTTGTTATTCTTATAATTTTCAGATTATCACAATGTCCTCAGGAGGAAAAATGTTGGGTGTATTTCCTGAAGAACTTTAAACCTGAACTTCTGAAGCGGCCATATATGGACAATTACAGTTCTAATGGGAGCCATGGGTTGCAGTATATGGAAAGGTCTAAAAGAGATCCCTCGTATAACCATAAAAACGAAATTAAGGCTGACTCAAGTACACAAATGAGATCTGAACCTGAGCCGACCGCATCTTCATGATAGGACAAAAGGTCAGTAGAACAATTTTTTGTAACTAACTTTTTAAAGCATAACTTTTTTTTCGCATTTATGGGTTCAAGAGAGTCCGAGTTTGTTTTACGTTATCGCGATTAACACGTTTTATAACGTTCGACGCTCTGATTGGGTGCTTCAAGTCAACCAACCAATCGGGTACTTGCCAGCTAGTCAAATTCAATACTTTTTTCGAACTGTCACAAACGACAGTTTTCCATGAATTTTGTACGAGATTGTGTATTGTGACGTCACGTTTTTTAGCGTCAAACAGCATACTTACTTATTTCTTAAATAATTGCTGGAAAAATATTAAAATTAAGTTGGTAATAATATCAATGAAACACAGTGTGATTATTTTTAAATATTTTATCGTATTATATATAACAGTCGAAATTATTTATTTTTGGATAAGGAAAGTACCTAATTATAGAGCTAAATACGGTACCTAATGTTTCGATCGCGTTTACGTAAAAATAACTCGCGCTCAGGACATAAAGTCTGGCAAACGAAAGTAGAGACTGAAAAAGCCCGGCAAATTTAAAAAAATATCAGTTGAACCAAACATTAGTATGTCATACCTGGAGTAACCTAATTTGATACTTTATAATAATTTGTTTGTTTGTTACGTCTTCACGTCTGGTTACTCCAGGTATGACATACTAATTTTTGGGTTGCTATACTGATATTTTTTAAATTTGCCGGGCTTTTTCAGTCTCTACTTTCGTTTGCCAGACTCTATGTCCGTCAATTGAACCTAGTAGTTATAAAAAGAACTAGTATGTTTGTCAAAAAAAATAATTTCCAATTGTCCTACTGCCTTTTGTACTTTGGTGGATTTCGTGGCTTTCGTTCAGGATTTAGGTAGTTCTTTGGTCAGACTATTTTTAAATCCTTCGCAATAGGGTAGATGACTGATTTTTATTTTAATGTCCGTCTGGTAGATTATTTTAAAACATTACACACGTATTTTTTATTTTTTTACAGAACCGAATACTTTCGACGTTATATTGATTTGAAATGTCGCGTGACGTCACTTCTATGTACATTTTATACGTAGAAATGACGTTTTAGACCCAATCCTAAACTTTGATTCGTTATATCTAAGTATCATTTTTATTATACCTACAACAAAATAAAAAAATACGTGTCTAATATTTTTTCATTATCTAACTGACGGACTAATTAGATTTTTAATTTTCATACCCTGTCATCATCCCTATTAGTTAAGTAAACCTGCTTGGTCAAGTGGTAGCAAATGCGCCTACCATGGGTCATTCTGAAACTGACTAGGGGGCGATTTTTAACAAAAAAATTATCTGTGGTATAACTTTCAATATTTTACAATTCTTCCATACGGAGAACTGTCGAATGTCATTTTTTTAACTGTAGAACACTAACTTAATATTAAATGAATATGAAAAATCGGCCCTTAGTATGCTTATAAAATTTAGCTACAGACTATACTACAGGGTGACTTGTAACTCGACGTATTTCTCTCGGGAGGTGTCGCGGAGAACCTAATGGGTTACCGGGGTTCCGGCTCGACGTGCAGGAGAAGGAACGGGGTGGTTTTTAGTCAGTAAGAGTCTGACACTCCCTTCCGCCTCACCCAGGCGGGAGCAGTCATCCGATGAATTTGCCCCCTTAAAAATTTCCTCTCGGGAAGTGATACAACTACCTTCCTACAAAATTAGCCCTGAGGTCCCTGGTCCTAAAGTGGCTAGATTCTGTGATATTCAACATTTTTATATTTTGTCAAAAAAACCCGACCTGACTGCAAAAACACCGATACATAAAAAAAAACTACTGGTTTCATTTAGATGATTTTGGTTGTATTATTTTTTTTATAGCATAAGCCGGTAAACGAGCATGCGGATCACCTGATGGTAAGCAATCGGCGTCGCCCATGGACACCCGAAATACCAAGGCGTTACAAGTGCGTTACCGGCCTTTTGGGAATTGGGAATTTGAGGATTGTCTGGGATTTAGGGATTGGGGAGATTGAAGAGAGGAGTAATTGGGCCTCCGGTAACCTCACTCATACGACGTCGGTTTTCTGTGAGGACGTGGTATCACTCCGGTCGAGCCGGCCCATTCGTGCCGAAACATGGCTCTCCCACACTTGTTTTCAATACATCAATAAACATTTATTTATACTAATGCTGGCAGAAATATCATTCGTTTTAAAATAGCAAGTAAATTAGTGTCAAATTTTGTAGGAAATTAGTTGTATTATCACCTCCCGCAAGGAATACGTCGAGTTACAAGTCACCCTGTATACTATTACATCTAATCAGAGCCGTATTATCCCTCAGGCAAACTAGGTAAATGCCTAGGGCCCCCAACTGGATATAGAGCCGTCGCGGCGCCAACAAAAATTAACTATAAGGTGCTTGCCTAGGGCGCTCTCTAGGTTTTGAAAATGTGATGTATGCACCACTGCGTATCTCTTTGGTGAATAAAAGGCAAGATCTCATTTTATCTTTTTTTTTGCAGTAAGCCCACAAAAGATTTAATCTATAAAGCAATGGACACCCTATTAAATAAGAAGAAAAATGAAAATTAAATTGTCCATGTTATCTACTTTGCAAATTGTAAATAACGTATCATTTTATATAACTAACAGGTTGAAAAAACTTGGTGTCATTTTTTTGGTTTTTGTTGTAATAAGTATATTATATTAATTGTTGGAAGCTGCTTCTCTTTTTTATTTTGTCCTTTTATCTGTTGAAACACCGGCTCCCGGTATAAAACACATTATACCCGCAACTATCAACAGACAAGAGGTTATTGAGTTTATTGAGTATTCTATAGTCTATGGAACATGTTAGAATAGAAATTGTTCAATAGTGTTTATTCTAGTTTTTGAAGGCGGGCATATTATTTTGAAAGGTGGGCATTACTTATCAAAGACATGTCTTCACATTTACATTGTTTGATTGGCAATTATTCTTGTATTTGTTTTGTAAACAGTCTCTTTTTAAGAATTATGAACTTTGACTGTGGCGAGATGAAAAAAATTTTTTATCATTTTGTACACCGTCAAATTTATATCGCTTTCGTTCCACGGCAAAACAACTTGCCATAGAAAGTACTTTTGATGCATAGATTAAAAACAAAAAATAAAAATGTCCATATTTTTTAGTAAAAAAAAAATATTCATCGACTTACGCGTACGAGACACTGAAGGCAAATTTGTAGGCACTATTTGCATCGCACGTGCCCTCTGACGAGAATTGCCTCTTCGAGAATTACATGGCGTGGTGTTTTCGCAATGTACTATGACTATGAGTATGTTCGAGTCCGCTTTCGAAGTTTGCTTTTTGCAATGGTTCACCAGTTATTTGTTGTTTTAAACATTTTATTTGTTTGTAAAACTATTGTATTACCGATACAGATGAATTTTACGGCGTATACAGAAAAATATGTCATTTTATGCATATTTACCGAAGGGATATACAGACGCACACATACATAAAGTAACACCCACTTCTTCCCAGCAATTTTATGAGTCCCATATAATATTGGGTGCTACCTTATATGAATATTATATATTTTTTATTTTCAGCAATAACGAATCTGTGATCGAGGATCTAGATGACGACGTGACTGCAAGCAATACTAATTAGTTTTATAAATATTCCAATAATTGCACGAAAATTGATCTTATGAAATAATTAGAAGATTGTTATTCAGTCTGTTATTAGATTTTTTTTCTGAGACTCTTTTGAGATATTTAAATGATATCCTAATGTGGAACAATTGTTATAATAAATAAATATTTTTTTAAATAAAACATTCCAATTCTATACATAACTGACAAGACTTGTTTATTGTTCTTATTCACCACGTAGTGGTACCTACTATTGGTTTAGGTCCTTTAGATGATTATTTATAATACATCAAAAAAGCGTGGTGTTTTACTTCGATGCCTCGAAAATATAAATTAATTCAGTACAGACGCAGTATAGTCTGTGTATAATAGTGTGCAATAGCGATTACAATGTATACGTATTCTCTTTAAAAAAAACCATATAATTTCTTGTAACAATAGTTACGGTCTCTGTTGGTACTGAAACTATCTTTATTTTCTTACCTGCATGGCTGCATACTGAATAATTCAGTTAACTGTACAGTCAGCACAGTAATTTAGAATATATATAAGAAAATACATTAAAATAATATACAGATTAAATAATTTTTTGTCTACTGTTAAGTGCAAGACGTGCTGTGACAATCGATAGCTGAGCGGCTAACGCTCTCTGCACCCAAGTATGTGTATGGGGAGATCTTATACTTATAAAATTTTCAATGGCTGCAAAATAACTATATAAAACTAGCGCTACTTTTCCTGTTAATACCTTTAACCGCTAGAATGCACCGATATGAGACACAATAATACATTGTCTCGGGTGGATCTACGTTTAGACACACGATGGGTTAAATGACTTTCCTGTAAGGTTTTAGACATATGGACCTATACGACGGAGTCATCGAAATGTATTATTTTGCCAGTTTTCAAAACAAATTCATCACTTGGAAACCTATACAATAATTTTTATGTTAGTTAATATTTTATCGATATCGATGTAATCTGAATGCTACCCATCCCTATCCATTACACTCTTTCAAGATTTTAATGTTGGTAGCTCTGTTTGAAAAGCCGAAGCTCCGACTTGCTCTGTCAGCTCTGTGGCACAGGACATTTCTAGTCTCGACGTCGAAGTGGCAGTATCAACCGCGCGTGTTTGTAGAGGATATTGTTTACGAAATACCTTCGAAAGATAATATTAATTTAGTAATTTGAGTATTTAAATGAAATCAATTTGTGATTAGTTAAAGAGGTACTGAATAATGGATTTTGCGAGAAAACAACTGGAGAAATACGGCTGGACCGATGGTAAGTTATCATGTTATTATTTTTTTTATCTTGAACTTTTTAGTCGTGGTATTTATTTATATCTCATATTTTCAAAGATTTCAATCAAAATAAGTTCATTATTTGTTTTACTTCAATAAAACAATAACTATATAGTTTTAGGTTTAAAAGAACTCGTGGTCTTGTATAAATAATCGAGATAATAACTACCGCAGTGGTAATTACGCATGTTATTTTTGTGAACGTGTTATTAATTACTTCTGTATTATACCAGTGCTTTAATTACGGAGTATATTATTGAATAGACTCATAATTGAATTGGTAAACAAACTAACAGTTACATAAAGAGTTTGTATTGTCAGTTTTAATGATTTATTACTGTTAATGAAAAAGTGTTATTAAATACCAGCTTCTCTCGCGCGATTCCAACCGCTGCACGGCTCGTATTGGTCATAACGTGGTGTTTTACCCGACTACGGCTAAGCTATACTATAGCGGTCTCCCTCAATTAATAAATTATCCAACACGAAGAAAGGATGAAGAGTAAATATCATTTCTCAAGCAAACCAGTAGTTCCAGAAATGAAAGTAGAGTCTATTGATTTACATCAAATTATATACGTTTTAGAGATGTTCTAAGTGTGATTGATGGAAACTGTCGTGAAATTGTTAAATACCACAGATAAAAAAATGATTTTTTTCACAGGCAAAGGGCTGGGTGAACACGAGAATGGTATATCAGAGGCATTGAAGCCTAAATTGAAGCGCAGTGTAGCAGGAGTGGGACATGATGCGGCTGCCGAGTTCAATGAGCACTGGTGGACCACTCTCTATGATAAGGCAGCTGCTAATGTTGAAGTGAGTAGTTGAAATAGTTATAATTATTAACACACTTTTATTTCGTTGACTTGTAAGAAACTGTATAATAAAACCCGAGGATCGGAATTACACACCCTTCTAATATTGATGATGACAGGGTCAAATTAAACATCGAATTAGTCTATCAGTTAAGTATATAAATTAGTAGACTGCCTAGTTGACCGAGTGGTTGCAAGTGCGACTACCGGGCAAGAGGTCTCGGGTTCGATTCCCGAGTTAAGCAAAGTATTACTAGGTTTTAAAAAAATTCTCAGTAGTAGCACCGAGTCCGGAATTGTGCCCGGTATATGGCAATAGGCTCACCCCCTATTACATGGGACTCATAAAATAAATAGTGAAAAATGGGTGTTGCATTGTACAGTAGAATGTGCACTTCTGTCTACCTCTTCGGGGATAAAAGGCGTGATGTTATGTTATGTAATTTTTATTTTGTCATGAGAATGATACTTCAATTGAACAAAATTAAATGATGTTTATGAGTAGGAGCGTGTTTAGCGTGTAGTAGATTCATGCTAAAATAGAGATTAAGATTCATTCCGTCGAATGAAACAGAAACAGACGGACATTAAAGAAAAAAATGTTTGTTAACCTTATAATTTGTTGTATCATCCTAAAAATCTGCCAATTATGTGTAGATTATATGACCATATTATGGTACCAATAAGCTGGTTATTACGTAAAGCAATTAACATAATAATAACTTTAATTTGTTGTGTGAAACATTATGTTAACTGTTAATATATACTTAAAAATGGAGTGATAGATAATTATCAATCTCAATCATCAATAGTTGTCTCATCTGCCTATTACAGAGAGAGATTATTATCTCTGGTAGGCAGATGTAATATGTGTGTTATGTATATAATAACTGTTAATGTTTGTTTAAATATTAAACAGCGTTTAAAAAATAATTGAGACAATTTAAAATTAATATACTATGGCATATAAATGAAACTTACTTTCGAAATTCCAGGTAAAAGAGAAGAATGGGAAAACAAAAGAAATCAAAATGAAAGATGATAAAGAATTCGACATTACCAATAGTACTTGGAAACTGAATAAACAGAAGGATGCTGAGAACGAGGAGCAGTACTCCGACTACTTTGTACGGACTGCGGTGCTGACTAACGGTGCAAGTAACATGGAGAGAGCGAGGGAATCAGACTCCGAGGATGAAGCAGAAAAGAAAGTTGTGTTCAAAATGACTTATGAAGAATTATTTGCTAAATGTGTAGGCAGGACTGCTCACAAGTTAGTATTATTACCTTGAATAAGCGTAGTGGTCAATGTTGATACCTTCTCTGTGTGAGAAGAGTCTTTTACTAGGCACTAGGCACTTATGGTTGTTAATGATGATGAGAATCATATTTTCATACTGCCTTTGCCTCGCAAATAATTTTATCTTCAGTAAAAAAAAAATGTCTATGGTTCTTAAAACAAACTGCTATAAAAAATTACTCTTTTTAGACGAATAATAGGATTACTTCTATTTTCTTAATTAGTAACATATTTTATTTATATCTTTCAGAGGTGCTCGCCATGGCCTAAGAGCTACAGGAAAGTTAACAAGGATAGCGCAACAAGAGGCTCAACTACTTTCTCAAACAAAATACAGCGGGTATTCAAACTCCAACAAATTAAAAGAAGTTGACAGCATAAGCTTCCATATGGACACTGATAACACAGGAATTAAAAAGAAAACGAAGAAGAAACGCAATCGTTGCTACAATAACGAAAAACCTGATACACGTATCACCAAATGTGAATTGGCTGAATCAGATGAGTTATCTTTGCCTGATGAAAGTCAAGTGACAGATGAAGACAATGTAGCACAAAATGTAGAGAAAGTTGATAGAAAATCTGAGAATGAAAATCAAGACGACGATAAAGAATAAAGATAATGAATTAGAATAAGAAACTTTAATAATGTGATGTAAATATAAGAAATAATGAACATGTTTTATTTGTAATAAATAATTAAACTAACAAAGTTTTTGTTCAGTTTCAATTTGAATAACGCATAACTATGTTAGAGGAGTAGAGGAAATTCTATCCTGTTAATAATAACATGGTAAACTTTAGCTCCTAATCCAACACTATCCTTATGGTATAGGAGCTAGCAACGTTTTCGAGAAAGAATTTTAGGTCTGCTGATTTTGTGATATGTCGTCCTTCTTGCACTTTCGGTTAGAGTCTGGGCTATCTGGCTGGCGGTAGCGGTTGCGTTCTTTAGTACGCATCCTACCTGTCCAGGTAATAATCCTGGATTTTAAAAACATTTTAGAAGTCGTAATTTTTATTTTTTGTTTTTAAATAAGTCTACCTGAAATACTTTTTTTATTGCCAGACATTTTTGACAATGCTAACTATGTGCCAGACGCGATTTTGTGTTTCTTTTTATTAAAATTTCAAAGTATTTTATAATGTCTGTAATTTTAATATTATGTTATTTAAAGATAAAAAAAACTTAAAATAAATTTGCCAGACATTAATTCGATTGTTAAGTCTTGAATTAAAATGAAAAAGTCATGAAAAGTATTGCAGTATAATGCTATCAATCGGTCCTAACAGAATTCGGCCCCATCATTTCGCAGCTGAACTTAAAAATGTGCAATTTAAAGAAGCTTTAGTTAACTTTTTCATTGATCACTGGGGTAGTGAAGACATGTTGCCTTTCATTGGTAATAAAAATATTTACGTAAGTTTCAATAAATGTTATTCATACAAAGTGATAAATAACAAAGTAATTAAAGCTATTGAAGAATCATTATCGTGTGAAGAACACGAAGAAGCTGATTCTAGGATTATTTTTCATATTTGCCAAATCGATTTTGACGCAGACGTTGTTATACGCTGTTCTGATTCTGATATTTTAATTATACTTCTGGGAAATATGGATCATCTGAAAGCATCTTTGAAAATTTGGATAAATATGGGTGTTGGAAATCATCAGCGTTACATAAACATCAATGAATTACACCGAATTCTTGGTGACTCTTTATGCAAAGCTTTACCATGCTTCCACGCAATAACCGGATGTGATTACACGCCAGCTTTATTTAGAAAAGGCAAAGTTAAGCCTTTTAAAATATTAGAAACGTCTGAAGAATACCAGTTAGCTTTTGATAATATAATTACGGATGACGATGAAGTACTTGAAACTACGTTTGTAACCCTGGAGAAATTTATTTGTCAAATGTATGGAGTTAAAAATTGTTCCAATGTCAATGATGTTCGATTTCATTTGTTTTCAAGTACGTTTAAGTCAAAAAAATCAGATGAGAACTTCGACAAAAATTTCGAAACTTTGACTCATCCAGTTTGCCACCCTGTAAAGCGGAATTGCAACAGCATTTATTGAGGGTTTGTTACGTGACGAAAATTTGGAGAAATTCTCACTCAAAACATCCAACATCTTTATCTCCAATGGCTTTCGGTTGGACCATTAATGGTGACAAATATGATTTTGTCTGATTTTTGGGAGATCAATTACAATCCTCAGTTGCAGATATTATTGTTCAAAGTAAGTGTGAAATGGAATATTTGTTAATAATAACTAAAATGCTTTATAACGAACAAGAAGAATTACACTATTTATTTTTTTTTCTGTTGCAGATGATAGAGTTTTAGAAGATAACGAAAATTCCTAAGAACGTGATATGAATGACACTGACAAAGTTAGCGACGATGATGATGATAATGATTATGAAGATGCCTCTTTTTTGTGACGTCACTATAGGCTGAAACAACTTGAAAAACTTAGTATTTATTATTTTATAATTTTTATTTAGTAATCAGAACAATTTAAATAAAAAGTGATGTTTTTTAAATTTTAATCTAATTTTATATTCCTTTTTATGCTTAAATTTTTTTTCAAACTTGCTCGGACTAGAAAGGTTATTATTATCTTCGAAATTAAGTTTTTCTCGGCATTATAAAAATACCGGTTATTTAATGAAATCACGGGCCTGAGCCAAGTGAGTTTCATTTAATTGAGGGGATTTGGTTCGATATTTGAATCTTATTATTATTAAATTAAGTATTACTTATTATTATTATTATTTATTATTATATGCACAATGAAAAGTCATTTACTTTCGTAATGGTTCTCTGTATCATTCTCAACTTATTCTGCAACTGACTCTTTCGGACTACTAGCATTATACTGCAATACTTTTCATGACTTTTTCATTTTAATTCAAGACTTAACAATCGAATTAATGTCTGGCAAATTTATTTTAAGTTTTTTTTATCTTTAAATAACATAATATTAAAATTACAGACATTATAAAATACTTTGAAATTTTAATAAAAAGAAACACAAAATCGCGTCTGGCACATAGTTAGCATTGTCAAAAATGTCTGGCAATAAAAAAAGTATTTCAGGTAGACTTATTTAAAAACAAAAAATAAAAATTACGACTTCTAAAATGTTTTTAAAATCCAGGATTATTACCTGGACAGGTAGGATGCGCACTAAAGAACGCAACCGCTACCGCCAGCCAGATAGCCCAGACTCTAACTGAAAGTGCAAGAAGGACGACATATCACAAAATCAGCAGACCTAAAATTCTTACTTTCCAGACGTTGCTAGCTCCCGTACTATTAGTAATATTATAAATGGGAAAGTGAGTTTGTTCCGCTTTCACGCCGTAACTTTGAAATTTTGCAGACGTAAATTAGAAATAATAGGGTACTTTTTATTAACCGACTTCAAAAAAGGAGGCATTATTACAATTTGCTAAGTAGATAACGTGGACAATTTAATTTTCATTTTTCTTCTGGTAATAAAGGAAAATATTATTGTCAAAGATTACTTAAATAAAATTAAAACTAAATATTACTAAATTAAATATATACACCTTAAGATTAAATTTAATTATAGGAAAAACAAACTATTTATAAGGCATCGAAAAACTCAAACTCGAAAAATTTTTCTTCTTATTTACATTGTTTAGTTGGTAATTATATCAAAAAAATAGTTTATCATTTTGTGCACCGTCAAATAACGTTTTTGTCCCGGGGCAAAACCATAAGGAGTACTTTCAAAGCGTTTAAAAAAAATTCATCGACTTAAGCGCATGAGACACTGAAGGTAAATTTGTAGGCACTATTTGCATCGCACGTGCCATCTGACAAGAATTGCCTCTTCGAGAAGTACATACGGTGATGTTTTCGCAATGTATTATGACTATGAGTATAATCGCATCCGCTCTCGAAGTTTGCGTTTTGCAATGGTTATTTGTTGTTTTAAACATTTTATTTCTTTGTAAAACTATTGTATTACCGAGACAGAACTATTTTACTTCGGGACGAAAACGATATGAATTTCACGGCGTATCAATCTTTATTTTTGTATCAGCACAAACTGTAGTTGAGCGCGTGACGCTCTCTGCACCGAAGTACATATGTATAAGGGGAGAACTTTTACTTAAAAAATTTTTAATAGCGGCAAAATTAATTTTTGAATTAGCGCTACTTTCCCTGTTAATACCTTTAAATGGCTCTCCTGTAAGGTACCTGTTTTAGACATATGGAGCTGTACGAAGGAGTCATCAAAATGTATTATGCTTAGTTTTCAAGACAAATTCACCACTTTTGGAAAATTATTTAGTAATTATTATGTTAGTTAATATTTTATCGATATCGATGTAAGCTGAGTGCTACGCATCCCTATTTATTGCAATTGGATTTTAATGTTGGTAGCTCTGTTACAAAAGCCGAAGCTCCGACTTGCTCTGTCAGCTCTGTGCATAGGGTAGGGGAACTGTCAGTGTCAATCGCGCGTGTTTGTAGAGGTTATATTGTTTACGAAATACGAAAGAGAATACCTATTATTAGTAATTTTAATATTTAGATGAAATCAATTTGTAATTAGTTATAGAGAGCCTGAATAATGGATTTTGCGAGAAAACAACTGGAGAAATACGGCTGGACCGATGGTAAGCTATGATGTTATCAGTATTTTTTTATCTTGTTAGTCGTGGAATTTATTTATAATCACATATTTTTAAAGATTTCAATTTAACATAAGTTTCATTATCTGTTTTACTTCAATAACACAATAACTATACAGTTTTAGATTTAAAAGAACTTGTGGTCTTGTATAAATAACAAATATCCAGATAATAAATATCTCTGTGGTAATTACGCATGTTATTTTTGTGAACCTGTTCTTAATTAATTACCTTTGTATTATATCTGTGCTTCAGTTACGGAGTGTATTATTGAAGAACTTACAATTGCATTGGTAAACAAACCAACTATGAGTAAATCTCATAGAGAGTGTATTGTCAGTTTTTAAAGACATATACTGTTAATGAAAAAGTGTTAAATATTAAATATCAGCTTCTCTCGCGCGGTTCCATCCGCTGCACGGCTCGTATTGGTCATAACGTGGTGTTTTTACCCGACTACGGCGAAGCCAAAAGGCGGGTTATGTCTTTACAGCTCGTCACTATCACTACATAGTATAAAACAAAGTCGCTCTTCGCCGTCTGTCAGTCCCTATGTATGCTTAGGTCTTTAAAACTACGCAACGGATTTTGATGCGTTTTTTGTAATAGATATAAATACCACAGATAAAAAATGTTTCTTTTTTCACAGGCAAAGGGCTGGGTAAACACGAGAATGGTATATCAGAGGCATTGAAGCCTAAATTGAAGCGCAGTGTAGCAGGAGTGGGACATGATGCGGCTGCGGAGTTCAATGAGCACTGGTGGACCACTCTCTATGATAAGGCAGCTGCTAATGTTGAAGTGAGTAGTAGAAATAGTTATATTTATTAACACACTTATATTAAGTAGATTAAAAACTGTATAATAAATGCGAGGGTCTGAATTAGATGATGACAGGGTAAAATAAAACATTGAATTAGTCTGTCTCTGAATAAATACTAGACATGTACAATTAAGTTAAAATATAGTTGAGAACGGATTGATAGATATAATCAGTTGTCAGCCTACCAAAGATAATGATAACTGTTAATGTTTAGCTCCTATTTTTTAATTTTGAATATTAAATAGTGTTTAAAAAATAATTTATATAATTTAAAATTATTATACTGTGGCATAATAATGAAACTAACTTTTGAAATTTCAGGTAAAAGAGAAGAATGGGAAAACAAAAAAAATCAAAACGAAAGATGATAAAGAATTTGTCATTACCAATAGTACTTGGAAACTGAATAAACAACAGAAGGACGCTGAGAACGAGGAGCAGTACTCTGACTACTTCGTACGGACTGCGGTACTGACTAACGGTGCAAGTAACATGGAGAGAGTGAGGGAATCAGACTCCGATGATGAAGCAGAAAAGAAAGATGTGTTCAAAATGACTGATGAAGAATTGTTTGCTAAATGTGAAGGCCGCACTGCTCACAAGTTAGTATTATTGTCTTGAACAAGTGTGGTGATTAATGCTCCTACTTCCTCTGTGAGAAGAGGCCTTACCACCCCAGACGAGGCCTTTAGACCCAGCAGACCCACCCAGGCCTTTAGTAGGCACTTATAGGATGTTGATGATGATGAAATCATACTTTCATACTGCCTTTGCCTTGCTAATAATTTCATGAACTCTTCAGTCAAAATAAGTTGTCTATGGTTCTTAAAACACTAGGTACTGTTAAAAAGTTAATTATTAGAATTTTTACTCTTTTTAGACAAATACTAGAATTACTTCTATTTTCTTTATAAGTATCATATTGTTTTATTTATATTTTTCAGAGGTGCTCGCCATGGCTTAAAAGCTACAGGAAAGTTAGCAAGGATAGCGCAACAAGAGGCTCAACTACTTTCACAAACAAAATACAGTGGATATTCACACTTCAAGAAATTAAAACAAGAAGTTGACAGCATAAGCTTCCACATGGACACTAATAACACAGGAATTAAAAAGAAAACGAAGAAGAAACGTAATCGTTGTTACAATAACGAAAAACCTGATGCAAGTATCACCAAATGTGATTTGGCTGAATCAGATGAGTTGTCTTTGCCTGACGAAAATCAAGTGACAGATGAAGACAATGCTGCCAATGCACAAAATGTAGAGAAAGTTAGTAGAAAATCTAAAAAATCAAGAGATGAAAATCAAGACGTTGATGCGAGTCCTGAAATGACTGTGGATACTGCTAAATCTAAAAAGAAGAAGAAAAAATATGTAGGTGATGCTGATGACATACCTGCTACTGAGGAAACGAACAATGTTGATGATGAAGTGCCTTCTGAAAGTTCGCGTAAGAAGAAAAGGAAAAAGAATAAAGATAATGTATTAGAATAAGAAACTTTGTTAATGTGATGTTTATATAAGAAATAATGTACATATTTTATTCATTTTGTGTTTTATTTGTAATAAATAATTAAACTGACAAAGTTTTTGTTCAGTTTCAATTTGAATAAAGCATAATTATGTCAGAAGAGTAGAGGGAATTCTATCCAGCTGTTATTAATAATGTGGTAAACTTCAGCCCCTAATCCAACACTATAATATATAATCAACACATTACTTGATTTTATTAAGTTAATGAATTTCAATTGAAATGAATAATCCTACAAGCTTTATTTTTATTCTCAAGTAAATATTCTTATTCGGTAGAATCTTAGATATAAAGAAGTGGTAACACCAGTATTTCTGTCAAAGTTGTCAATATTTTCGACGAAGATTGAAATCGAAAAATATTGTAAAAATGTCCTTAGGAAAGATATTAGCGCTCGATAAAGTTACTAATTTCTTCAATGCGATCCGCCAGAATGGTGGAATAAGAGCTTCTCTGTATAAACTGTACAGGTAATAAATTAATCCTTTTATTATGTAATTTACTTTTAGGTTATGTTTATACCAAAATTATCACTTACACATAGTATCCAGGCAAAAATGACACAAATATTTTCATTAACATTTATTCGTCGACATAGTTGTGATGACAGAATAGTATTATTAATAGATTTCACTTCAAACGTTCCCTTTATTGTTCAGCAATATCTAACATTCGGTTTCTCTTAATTTTCAATTTTTATCTTATTTGAATCCTGCTAAATATTGTTTTACAACTCTGGAATTAAACTTGGAATTAATTATTGTTTTCTTACTTAATTCATATTAGAAATGTGAATTTTGAGCATTATTGACGTGTAAAAGTGCTGCCTTGTAGCCTATTTGCAGAAATAAATTTCACTTGTTTCATATAAATATTTGTCTGTGAACCTGGTTTGTTGTGAAGTCTTATGTACCTAAGTATGAATCAAATTGAAAAGGAACAAGACTGCCCCTGCACTGCAAGCTGAAGCCCTGGCAACCCGTTAGGCCTTCTGCTGCTCCGTATATTCTGTTATACTAGAACTCTTTTTAATATGAGATTGTATTGTAGGTACAGTGTAAATAGATTGTCTAACACAAAAGTATTTATTGAATACAAAACAGAAGATTAGAAGTTCAAATAAACCCTTAAGCTTTATACATTTTACATTTTGGTAGTGCATTTAAGAAATAAGGCAAAAGGCTCAATCTTTATTATTAGAGACTCATAACATTAATAGTGACTGTTAAATTTCACAGTGGCATTAAGTGATGCAATGTGCACCTCTGCCTACCCCTTCGCAGGTAAAAGGCGTGATGTTATGATTATGTTATTTAATATATAAATATCTCTTTCCAGACAAGATGAACTAAAAGATGGCAAACTAATTGGGGAGGATAAATATGGAAACAAATACTATGAGAACCCTCGCTACTTCTACGGCAGGAACCGCTGGGTGGAGTACAATGATAAGGCGTATTTGAACTATGATGGAAGCCAGGTACATGATCATAGATTTAAGTACATATATATAGATATAAACTAAATGAATTATTATGTGACTTACTCACGTAACAGTTTGACGAGGAACTTGATTGAGTTCCTCTCTAGTCAGTTCCAAGCCATGCTAGAGGCTCATATTCATGAGCAGCATTCTGCTAAACGCGACACGGCGACAATAGTAATAGGACAGCGGCAAACAGTAACCATCTGTTAAACTCGAACTATTTCAACTGCTGTCTCCAATCCATCAAATGTGGAGAAAGAGAAAGAAAGAGATACAAACAAAAACTACGCATCGTATATCGTGGTGCCGAAAAACATAATAATTGGTTTAGTATGTCTCCTGAAATAAATAAACCAGCTACTCCCGTGCTAAGGGTGTAACCACACGGGCGGCGCGGCGCCTAAGCGGTGCCGCTGCGGTTGTCTACATACAAAAATGCGTTGTAGCCACATGACGCCGTGCGGTGTGTCCGGCGCCGCGCCGTGAGTGCATCGGAATCGAGGCGAGGCGGGGAGGGTAAGCAGAGCGGAGCCGGAGCGGCGCCGCTCGCAGTTGTTTGTTGGCGCAGCATAGGGCGGGAGGAATGAAGGATGGATTAAGTCACATGCCGCTGCGGCGCCGCCGCCACTCGGTAGAACGTTGCGACTCCGCTCTGCCCGTGTGGTCGCCAGCGCGGCGAAATGTCTTGCGGTGCGGCGTCGCACCGCCCGTGTGGTTTGCCTCTAAGGCGTAATATTTTATAGCCTACAGCAGTCCTTGATAAATGGACTATTCAACAAAGAGAATTATGAATTTCGAACTAGTTGTTCTTTTTTTATTTCATGGGCCGACGTTAATTGACCGCTATCTACAAGTTTCATAATTGTGTACTTGCTGTCTAGTCAAATTCAATACTTTTATCGAACTGTCAAAAACGACAGTAAACTAACACAATACTTTGTGTAGTCACGTTTTTTTACCGTCAAACAGCATACTTATTTGTTAAAACATTGCTGGAAAAATACTAAAATTAAGTTGGTCATAAAATTAATAAAATGTGATTATTTTTTAATATTTGATTGTATTGAACAGTCGAAATAATTTATTTTTGATGAAGACAAGTACCCAATAAGCGCAAGTAAACAAGATAACGAACTCCTATGCTTTATAATATACCACAGATGGGGCCCAATAGGGCCGATGCCGATTCGGAGTCGCGGAGAACCTAACGGGTAACCGGGGCTCCGGCTCGACGTGCAGGAGAAGGAACGGGGTGGTTTTTAGTCAGTAAGAGTCTGACACTCCCTCCCGCCTCACCCAGGCGGGAGCAGTCATTAGATGATTTTCCCCCCTTAAAAAAAAATGCTTTATAATATACAGTTGTACAAAAAATTTACCTTCTGTTCAGTGTATCTGTATTTCTTAGTATGCTTATATTTATATTTTATTCTGAATTTCAGGTACCCGCTGAATGGTTCGGTTGGCTCCACTACAAAACTGATCTGCCCCCACACCAGGTAAGCAATATATGAATATAATCTTATGAATAATTCACAATAGTAGCACAGAGTCTGGAATTGTGCCCGGCAATAGGCTCACCCCCTATTAAATGGGACTCATAACATAAATAGTGAAAAGTAGGCGTAATATTGTTCAGTGGCATAATGTACACCTCTGCATACCCCTTCGGAGATAAAAGGCGTGATGTTATGTTATGTTAATCTTATGAATCACATCACACCTTTTATCTATAAAGGGGTAGGCGGAGATTCACATTACGCCACTTAATCCCACACATAATCTTATTAATTACTCATTTGTTATGTAATTAAATTATATATTTGCAACTGTTGTTTTTGAACCATGAGGTTTCAAATTCGATTTCCGGACCTAACCAAGTATTATTTAATTTAAATAAACATTTTTATGCATTAGCAAAAATCCTTTTTTATTTACACATCACACTCAAGACTCTGAACAATTTATTTAAGGATTACATTCACACAAATGGCAAAGCCCAAAAGCACCGCACAAATGACGAATGCTTGCATCTTGCTTAGAACAAATGAAAACTGTTCACGAACCGGCAACGCTGCGTCACTCACTCCTCATAAAAATCCACGTATCGTTAATTATAGGTTACATGCAGTAGTCAAATGACGCGTCTTAGTAAGTCAGACCAGTCAGTAAGCTAAGTGCGGGATCATGACGTTTTGTTTTAATGTACCAGAAAAATAACATGTAATGTTTTTCATATTCCAGGACCCAAGCAGACCCAAATACAAGTGGATGGCTGATTTCACAGAGAACATGTCAGGCACGACCGGTCAATACGTTCCCTACAGCACGACCAGGTCTAAGGTGGAACCCTGGGTGCCTAAGAAAGCTGCTTAAACCTTCAACCGGAGCATGCCCTTAGTATCATTCTGTAAAACTCACTTTCAACAAGAAAGGAAAAACAAAACGCAATTTATTTGACACCTGTCATGTTTTTGTCAGATGTCAAAATTACACTACGTTCGAAAAAATCTGCGAAAAATCTGTTTTGTAGTGGTTTGTAATGGAAATGATGATGCTACGGGAACAGTTACGTTGTAAAATTCAGTGGAATATTTAACTCTATAGTTTATAAGTAGAAAATGAAATAAATCATATTTTGAGTTCATTGTTATTTTTGTGTTTTATTCGTCGTGTGTTTGTACGGCCTGCTCAGATGCCGCTCTCGCGTTCCGCATGAAAGTTTACAAAAGCTGAGCAGGAGAGCTCTCTAATAAACCTGATATGTTGGTATTTTTAAACTGTGATCCTTTGATTTCCCAACTAGCCTGCCGCTTCGCCTGTTGCTTGGCTTCTATTGGTCAAATGTTTGTGATGTTTTACAGCCTATAGGCTTCCTCGATAAACGATGATTGTGTATATTAGTAAACTGAGGGACCAAACTGGATATTTCCGAAAATTTAATGGACTACCCAACAAAAAATAATTCATCAAATCAGACCAATGCAATGGTTCCGGAGATGAGCGGTTAAACAAACTAGCAGCTTTATACCCAACCAAATCAAAAATTCTCGATGGAGTCACTCGTTCATCTCTAAAAAGTAATGAAATCTAGACAAAGTCGTGCCAAGTCTAAGGTTCCTTTGAGCTCGCTGCCAATGCAGCGGTAAGTGCCCTCTTAGATGAGTGGCTTAAGATACGCTACGGCGTCCTCATCTACCGCCTGACGCATGCCTGGTTCCTGTGTCTGATGGGGCGGGAAGAAACGCCCGGGTGTCATCACTGCGTGGACTGCCCTGAGTGCACGGTGGAACACATAGTAAGGGAATGCCCTGCGTGGGCTGAGCACCGCCGTGCCATCTCCGGCCACCGTAAGCGCGAGCCTGCGGATGGCGCGCATGGGTGGCTCGTCGCCCGACCAGAACCAGACCCGAGCGTACGGCGCGTCGCGTTCCGCGCGCGCCTTAAAGAGCCATCAAACCACCACGGATGAGGTCCAGTAGGGCTGATGCCGATAAGGCGCCGCGGAGGACTTAAGGGGTTACTCCTGCACTTCGAGCCGGAGCCCCCTCCAGCTCGAATTGCAGGAGTAGGAACGGGGTGGTTTTTAGTCAGTAAGAGTCTGACACTCCCTCCCGCCTCACCCGGGCGGGAGAAGTCATTCGATGATTTTCCCCACTTAAAAAGTCTGCGGTTCTTCACTGCGATTTCTTTATCATTATAGTTAATGTTGTATGACTGTTGAAGGGTGCAAGACACCATTGCACCAATCTGTCGCCATTATTTATCATCCAATGGATCCAATGTGGCAATAAGCACGCTCGGTTAGCATGCTTCATAGCGTTGGGAACAGTTTCATTTGTACCACACACCGCATTCAGTTATTATTTCTACTCGAAAACCTGTTTTCACTGCCATGAGTCCTGGCGAGCGGTGCTCAAAGTTTTTTAGCCGTGTTCTGTGCAAAGATGATCATGAATCAGCTGATGTTGTTTGAACATGTTATGCAGGTTGACCGTGTGGTTGGTGGTGTTGGTGTGAGGGTGCGATTCCCGTATTGAAAAAAATGTTGAGTCTGTTTCATCATCTTCTTAAACTTATGTGATGAATCCATACAAATTACAAATGTCGTTCATTCAAATTGAAATAGTAGATACTTATATAGCGCTCAGAGAGCGGAAGAAGACATAATTACATAACATAACATCACCCCTTTTTCCCCGAAGGGGAAGGCAGAGGTGCACAAAGTAACACTTTTCACTATTTATGTTATGAGTCCCATGTAATAGGGGGTGAGCCTATTGCCATAAACCGGGCACATTTCCAGACTCCGTGCTACTACTGAGAATTTTTTAAAAACCCTGTGATACTTCGCCCGACCCGGGAATCGAACCCGAGACCCCTTGCCCGGTAGTCGCACTCACGACCACTCGGCCAACGAGGCAGAAGAAGATATAATTGTTTTAAACACTAGTCCCTCACCTGCGGTGTCATCCGCTACTCGGCCCCTATTGGCTATAGCGTAATGTTATATAGCATTTTTTTAAACAGGAAACATCAAATTCCTTCTCCCACCTAGGTGAGGCGCGAGGGAGTGTCAGACTCTTGACTAAAAACCACCCCGTTCCTACTTCTGCCCTTCGAGCCGTATCGAGCTTCGTATCGGCATGAGCCCTATTGGGATGTTTTATAGCAATAGCCTTTCTCGATACATAGACATCCAATACAAAAAGAATTATTCAATGCGAAACTATACTTTCGAAGATTAGCGCGTTCAAACAAACAAAACTCTTCAGCTTAACTTGCGTCTACTAGAATCAAAAACGATTACTCAGTATAATAACTACAGATTGCTAGACATATATTTATTTATTCCATTTATTTATTGTTTATGTACACAAGAACAACATAAAGGACAACACATACATAAAAACAAGGTACGTAGGTACATATAATTATAATTAACTCGTTGAGTACCAAAATTAATGACATAATTAAAGAACAATAGGTTGCGGTCACCGGTGACCGCTCGGTGTTTGACAGTTTAAGTAAGTACACACATTTACAAAGAAAACATCAACAAAATGAAACGTTTTAGTAATAAAAGCGCCGCTTGATTTATTTTATCGACTTCCTTTTTACCATCGACGGGAGCTTTGTCCATCTGTGTCCCATATACCGCCTGACGGTGATAGATGGATGGCGATATTTTTGGCTTCGGACATCACCATTGATGTGCGGTGTCTATTAATAGATCGACAATGGTGATTTACTTACAAGTTATTGTAAAAGTAAGAAGAAAGAAAGCTTGCACATAAACATAATTATTAAAAAGGTGGTTCCATAATCTCTGCCTACCCCCATGAGAGACAGGCGTGAGGTTATATATTCATGTATGTAAAAACACATAAAACTGAACTTACACATTACACGCAGACTCGAAGCTGCAATTTACGGATCACAAAGAATTATTCCGTGCGAGAATCGAACCCGCTACACGTTGCACGGCAGTCAATTGCCTAGACACCACGCTAATCGTGATTTAACTCGTCGAGTACCGTCATTATAGACACAATTATAAAACAATAGGTTGCGGTCACCGGTGACCGGTGAAGTTAGGTACTTTGTCCTATACAGGGATTGAATCCGAAACCTCTACGATACAGTATATGAAATAAATACATATTATTATTTTAAAACCCGCTACTACTGTCCTCTCTTAAGATTACCTAGAAACCATATTTTTTTTAGTTTGACATACTCAAAGATATACGATCATTCAGCCTCTCAAACCGTGGTAATTAAAACATCCGTAGTCCGTATCCAAAAAGGTCGAAATACGTATAAAAAAAGTTTTAGAATCTTTGCCACGAACCAACTGCCCACTGTATAACTACAAGCGCACGATTCAAGACCCAAGCTTTTTAACAATAACCATTCAAAATTCAACCTTAGGGCTTAATAGCAAAAACTTAAATTCAATTAACCGACTCCACAAGAATGATCACACTAATGCAATTTGTCTACTGCAAGGGAAATTATGTGTTAATGTCTTAGTAACAAGGTTGAATATTCAGTGCGCTAATCAATTAAGCTCTGAATAAGAACGAAACTTTTTTTGCCATCACAGGTAAAAATATCTTCAACTCGACTCAAAACCAGTGAAAATGCGACGCGGCGCGGTTCGTACGCGTGTCACGTTAGACTTTTATATAGTTTTATAACTTAAAAATATAGGTTTTAAATGAAAAATGAACGGATAAATGTAAATCTTTGTTTGTCAGTGAGTGAACGAACGTGCGTCGTCCGTGTGACATGTGTTCCATTTTATAAAATCAGTTTCGAAATTCGAAATAATTGTGTGGTGTGCAAAAGTTGTGCTGTTACACGAAAACAGGATTTTGTGATTATTTAAAACCTTTATGGTGAGTTATAGGTTATAATTTGTTATTTCATGGTTATTTTAGTTATTTGATTGTGATTTTGAAGTATGACCGGTGAACAAAGAAACTGTAAACTAGTTTTGAAAGTAAGCGGCGTAAAATTTCGTTAGTTGTAAAGCGGCCCGCTAACAAGGATGTTTTGTGTAGAATCTGTGCCTCTTGTTTTTTTTTTATAGAAAAAAGTTAAGTGGGCGCTAAAAGTCCTATTCTTTTTCAAATGGAAGATTGGACATGCGTATTATTGTAAACGAATTTCGTATTGTAGCAAAAATAGCATTAATTTGTGAATTGAAGCAGTAAAAGCTGTTGTTTTTGTAATTTCATTACTAATGAAATTAAGTACCTACTTGCGTCTGTGCATGCATTTATTTATTCATGTTATGTACTAGAACCAATGGTATGCAGATAATAAATTGATGTGTTGCAGTTGTGTAATTAACTATGTTGGATTGTTTCCGCTCAATAAACAAATACAATACAATGCGATTATTTTAAAAACCTAAATGGTAGTGAGAGGCATAAGTTAAAAAATAATTAATAAAGATTTTAATTGGATGTAAGAACGAAACAACAGACCGCTTCATTGGTCAAGTGTGACCTCCAGACTCCACTATAACAAAATTATGAACTATTTATGGTGACCTCGGGTTCGCTCCCGGTTCCCGGCAAAATATACCTACGTAAGTACTTAGGTACTATCATTAGGTTTGCGATTGCGACTTCCAATGTGCGTTTATCAATATACATAGTATAAAACAAAGTCGCTTTCGCTGTATGTCCGTATGTATGCTTAGATCTTTAAAACTACGCAACGGATTTTGATGCGGTTTTTTTTAATAGATAGAGTGATTCTTAAGGAAGGTTTGTATGTATATACATATTGCACCCGTGCGAAGCCGGGGCGGGTCGCTAGTTATTTATAAAGTAGGTACTAGCAAACCCGACGAACTCCGTTTCGCCACCAGATGGCTTCGTTTTATGTAACATTTCGTTTGATTAAAAGATGAAGAATTTTATTTTGTTTTACATTTTATAAACCTCACGGAGCCCGAGACCTTTCCAACGAATGCAAAATCGTGGAAATCGCTTCGTGCGTTCTGGAGTTATAGCGTCAGGAAGGAAAACCCGCCTTTTTTTTATATATATATAGTAGATTATAAGATGTTATGTACAGGTTAAAACTAGGGAATAAATTGGGACTGACATCGAAGATTCGTCCTAATCAAAATTG